TTAGTAACATGATTTTACAAGAAAAAGGTATAGAATTTGTAGGATCATTAGGAGTTGAAGACAGAATAAAATGTGATAATAGCTAGGTATATAAATTTAAAAAATGTAATGGTTTTTGTAAAATTAATTTTTCTGGTGAAGCGAATAGTGTACCATTAATTACATTATCAGATGAACATTTAAAATTGCAAGAGATTTTAGCTAATTATAATAGGAAAGATATTTATAATGCAGATGAAACAGGCTTATTTTTTGAATAGAACTGAGTAAAACTTTTAGTACAGATAAAGTATTTGGCTGAAAAAAAGTAAAACATCAAGTTTATGAAGTAAAATTAATTTTGCAATTTATTTATTTTATATGGTGCCGGAACTCTATACTCAAAAATAAAATTGTGATAATTATAAATCTTTCAACACTTTAATAAAATAGAATTTCAAAGAAATAAACTGGTAACTTTGTTCTACAAGACAAGTACTATTAAATTACCGGTCAGATTTTCAAAAAAATATCTACATAAAAAGCTATAAGCGTTTGAAATTTGGTTATTTTTATATGATTGGCTCAAATTTGAAACAAAAAGTCACATAAATGCATTTATTTTATGAGAATTTACATAATTCGTACTGACATTTAATTATTTTAAGGCTTAAAATGGCTTAAAATGTCCTTAATTTACTTAAAAGTCTAAATTCAACCCTATTTTAGCTTAATTGTTCTTAAATAAATACTACTTTCTACTTTATTCTTTAGCCGATTTCCTTTTTTTTCTTTTTTTGTACATGCTCGTATCTGATTTTTCTATTTTTTGTCTAAAATTGTGAGTTTTTATTGGCTATTGTGCTTCTCACGTGATAAATTAAAAATTTGAAACATTTTTAAGTATAGAGTTCTGGCACCATATGCTTTTTTTCTTAAATTTACATTGTATATTAATTTATTAGGATAAAAATCAACTTTCAGTTCTTTTTTATCACAGGTCAAAAAGTGAAAAATCAGGCATCAATCAGTTACCGATTGGTACCTGATTTTTCACTTTTCGACCTATGTATGTTAATGTCACTAGTTCCTCCTCTTGTTATTGAAAAATCGCTTAATTCCTGTTGCTTTAAAAACATTAATAAATCTGCACTTCCTATAATTTGCTATGTTAATTCAAAGACTTGAATGAGATTTAATATCTTTATTAAATAGTTTCACTATCTTGATAATTAGTTTCGTATGAAAAATTGAAAAATTTTACTTTTTATTGATAATATGAGATCTTATTTTAATCCAAAAAACTTGAAGATATTACTAATAAAGAGATTCCAATTTTAAATGATTAAAGTAAAAAATAAGTGTAATAGTAGTGAATAAAGCTCTACATGAGCCAGCTTGAGCCAAGCCAAGGGCTAGCTCAGCTTGACTCAGCTTGGCTTGTTCCAAAAGCTTACAAGCTAGCTCATTTTCAAAATCATATAAAATTTATTATAACTAAAATTTCAAACCGAAATAACTTCGCCAATATTGCTTTAAATTTAATGATTTTACTACCATTAGATTCGTCTCATCAAGAGGAATCGAATGGTAGTAAATTCATTAAATTTGGAGCAATATTGGCGAAGTTATCACGTTTTGAAACTTTAGTTTTAATTTTCAATAAATTGAGCTAAGCAGCACCAAGCCAAGCTATAATTGCAATTTGGTTTAGCTTGGCTTGGCTCAGCTTAAAAGCTCATGAGCTGGCTTGGCTCATGTAGAGCACTAGTAGTGAAGAAGAAAATATTGCTGAATCATCAAATTCTACTCAAATAGGAAAAAAACAAATCAAATAATAATAAAAAAAACCTGATATTAAGCTTACTAATGTAAAGTTTGTTTATTTTTTTCTTAATACCTCATCTCATCTTCAACTTATAGTTGCAGAAATTATTCAAAATTTTAAAGCTAAATATAAATGGGAATTTTGTGGATATTTGATTTATTAGTTTGATAGAAAAATTAATCAAGAAAAGTAAGTCTAAAAAAAAATCTTTTTTTTTTAGAATTTATATTAATAATAAGGGATGTTTAATTAGAAATAAGCTAAATATTAAAGAAGCAATTAATCAAATTGCCAAATCATAGAATAATATTACAGAAATAACTATTCAAAATTGTTAAAAAAAACTGAAATTCTTCCATCTAATATAAATAAAGATAATATAGATAATGGTACAAATGATGTGGATCAGAAGTCTGACTTTGAAGAAGAAATTGAATATCTTTTGAATTTACCAGAAATTGATAATATATGGGGACAAGCACAGCAAAACAAGGGGATAGCCTCAAAAAAAAATTTCTTAAGTTCATATAATAATTATGCTCCAATTTATCCAAAAATTACAGTTGTAATAAAATCTCAAAAAAAAATTTTTAGATCCTATCCCCTTGTTTTGCTGTGCGTGTCCCCATATATGATTCTCCTATTCCAACTGAAGATATTTTTACCAATAAACAAATTATAAATCTTGTACACTCTGAAGAAAATGAAGATAATAGTGATACTTCTAATGAAGAAATACCTATTATATCAACACAACAAACAGTTAATAATTTGCAAACTTTTATTAAATATTTTGAATAGCAAAATAATTCAGCTCAATTTAATACTAATGGTTTACATATTTTTTGAAAATATCTTTATTTGATAAAAGTTAAAGAAACTAATTCAAGAAAACAAAATACACTTGATAAATTTTTGAATAATTAATATTTTGTTATACAGGACCCCGGATATCTAATATAAAGGTCATAATGGACTTTTGGCCAAAAACGCCCCTTTTTGCTGAAACTCAAAAAATCGTTTTTTGTAAATATCTCAGCATCCAGTAATTCAATTTTAATGAACTTTTTTTTATTTTGTAGCCCTCATTTAGCTCTACAATTTAAAAAAATGTTCATCAAAATTGGACCACTGGATGCCGAGATATTTACAAAAAACGATTTTTTGAGCCCC